TGTCATCAGCAGCTATTCCAGTTTCCTTTAAAGCTATAGACAGTAAATCATTGGGTTAGAAATTAAGCTCCAGGCAGTTGTATAAATGTATGATACAAAAATGATCTTTGTGGTATTTTGTTGTTTAACTTGAAATGTAAATGTACAATATTTCAGGGCTTTAACCTCCTCATTTATCCATAAATGACTGCCATCCTTGTCACTTTCTATTATTCTCTTCATCACTTTGTAGCTTAAATGTCTGAGCTGATGTAAACGATGCCAGAAGCTTTTACTCTGATGCAACAATAAGGTTTATAACGCTACAGTATCATTTTTTCTTGCAGGAGAAACAACAGGACAGAAGTGAACATCATAATATTAAATTCTTGCCCAAACCAAGAGAGGAGCTCATCCCACAGAGACTTAGCCGGTCTCCCATTGAAGTATCACTTCCCTCCACCTCTGAAGAAGACCTCGGCTCACCCTTGGGTGTTTCAGAGCTGCACCACGAGGACTCCGCTACATTTGGAACATCTTTCCCTGGAAACAGATTGGCTCAGCAGAGCCTCTCAAGGTCTAACTTTAAAGTTTGTGGACTTGACCTTCCCCCGAAGCCCAGACTGACCTCCACGGTGCTTTATCCTACGTACAGCCCCTGTTCAAACAAACAAAGCCAAGCTCAGCGTGTGATAGAGAGCCGGAGGGAGAGAAAACTGTGTTCTTCTGGAGTAAACTCAAAAGAGATTCCCAAGTCTCCCTATCAGGCAGACTACTGGGCCTGTGCCATCCCTGAAACTCTGCCCCCATCTCCAGACAGGCACTCCACAGCATGGGACCCAAGCAAGGAGTACCAGGAACTGCTGGATTACACCTACCCACTAAGACCAAGACAGGTAGACAGTGAATGGGACAGCTCCAAGAGCCTTCAGGGTGACAGCCTTCAGACAAACCTCAACCTGCAGGACTCAGGAATTGCAATGGGCCACCTATGTAGTTCCACCAGCCTGCCAGGGTTGGACATTTCAACCGGTGCAAGAGGACAGAGCAGGGAAAGAATCACTCTTAGCTCGAATGATATGTCACCTGACCTGCAGTTCATCACTAGATCTTCAGGTGAACCACTATCCCTGCTCTCTTTGTCCTCGGACTGTCTGGACTGCAGTGAGGACAGAGGGGAAATAAATCCTTTCATTAATGATAGTCTCAATTATATGCGATCCACATCTACCTTTTCTGCTTTCATACGCTCTGAGAGTGTACTTCGACAGTCCAGGTGTGTGTACGGGGACCTGGATGAGGAATT